TGCGAATCAGTGCGTTTTCAGGTCAGCCTAGATTGTGCTACTACCGCATTCACCGAATTGTTGCGGGATTATTGCGGGCGATAGTCCTCCGATTGCATCGTTAATTTCGACAATCCTTCAGCATGTGCAAAATTGACATACGAATGATTCTTGATATAAAATAAAATTTTGTAAATGTCGAATCACTGCACAGAGTGACGCCATCCTCTTTTTAATTGAAGTTAGAAAGTGTCAGACGACGAAGATGAAAAGTTCAAAATGGTTTTTCCTCTCAACTATCACTTTTTAAAGTGGAAAAAAAAGTATACCTCTTTCCTTGCTTACATCGAGTCTTTCATCATTCTGTGTATTAATACCTTTTTACTATAAAATTGTGGAGTAATATATTATTATCTTATTTTATTATAAAATATGTTATTGTTATTTTATTTTATTATAAAATTTGTTATTTTACTATAAAATAGTGGAGTAATATAATAGTAATATAAAATAGTGGAGTAATATAAAAGTATTAGGCGCTCGAAATTTTATAAAATTTATTTTGCGAGAGACAGGGACAAGGATATGCGACACTTTTACATTTATTTTACACATTTTTCATATGTTACAGTTTTACGAAATTTTTTGTATTCATCAATTTTTGACCGTGTTACTTTAATCTTGTTATGTGAAATGATGAGAGAGGAAAAAGGAAAATTTGAAAAAATAGTAAAAGCAAAAGGTACAATCGTGAATATATAGCTCACTTGGAACCAATTCATCTTTTTTTCTTTGACATTTTTTCCTATTTTCAACCAACAAAGAGATATGTTACATACATACAAATACAGATATATTACATACATAAAAATATGTACATATATTTATCAGTAGGACAACTGGCTTTTAATACATAATCGTACGTGATCAATGATAATAATAATGATAATAATTAAAATAAATAAATGATAATTAAAAAAAAATATAATAAAAATAAATAATAATTATATATAATTAAAATAAATAAATTTATAGAATTATGTTGTCGTGCCTAAACAGAAATCAACATTAAGTTTGACAAAAATATTTTTTAAGCAATTAATAGGTTTAATTGTCTTTTAGATTTAAATATTTTATATACTTTATATATTTTATTTTATATATTTTATATATTTTTAATCCTTTCTAAAAATGTCTGCAAAGTTAAAGCTTCAAGAAAGTACTCAAAATAAATACTTCTAGAAAATTGAGTTTATTTGGAAGTTGTGGGGTTGAAAGAAGAATGGCTAACTTCCATATGCAAATAGCCTTTGGCGTTGCCTTACGCTCAACCTTCCAACAATTTTTAATAAAGCATAGTACATAGCTAGTACATAGACGCGAACTCGAGTTCTCCTTATAATACAATATCTTTCGTTTTAATTTTAATATAAAGTGATAATTAAATTTTAATTTGTAATATTAAATTTAATGTGGCCAACATTAATATCGCCCAATTAATACTTTCACGATTAGTAATTTTAATACTTCCGCGATAAACGTCATTTTGTAAATTTCGTGCAAAGAACTAGGTACATTAAGTATAAATAGGATTTATATTTCTACCAATTAGGATAGATATTGTAATATAACTTTATCATAGGCAAATGCACAGAAAAATCATTTTTGTGATAGAAAATTTTATAATGTAAAGAATATTGCATTGAATTTTTCAATGTTATTGTTACACATCTTTATTTAAATTATAATATTGAAAGTCTTTAATAATGACAAATATTTACTAAAGCGTTAGAATATAGACGCTCTTTACTATTTATCTGATAAATTCACGAAAAAGAGTTGGAAACGAGCTTACTATTTTTCGATTTATAGGTACACAGTATATGTATTGTTTGTTTCGTATATTGAACGCATAGTGAACTCGATAGGTGCACATTATCATAAATTGAGCCCTAAGGATTAGGAACGATTATGCCACGAAATATGTACGCATTATCGCATATGGCTTCAGATGATGCTACTCCTATTTAAGCCAATTCTGTTAAATGACGTAGCACTTTTGCGCACATAATTCCACATACATAGGTACTGTGCATCCAGTGTAAATGGCGTTCAATATCGATCGAAGATGAAACAAATTTGGATGAAATTATCTTTGATTTTTTAAGTACTATTTTTCTGAGCATGTATCGGCTCAGAAACAGCCTGACGGAAAATATAAATATTTTAAATAATACATATAGTAAATACTTTATTTTTATAAATATATATATTATATTATAATATATTTATAATTTATATATATAATATATTTATAATTTATACATATAAATATTATATTATTATATTATTATAAATATAAATATTTTATTTTTATAAATATAAATATTATATTATTTTATTATTATAAATATAAGTATTTTAAATAACACATATAATAAATATTTTATTTTTATAAATTTAAATATTATATTATAATATATTTATAATTTATATATATAAATATTATGTTATTATATCATTATAAATATAAATATTATATTATTATAAGTATAAATATTATATTATAATATATTTATAATTTATATATATAAATATTATATTATTGTATTATTATAAATATAAATATTTTAAATAACACATAATGAATATTTTCTTATTATAAATATAAACATTACATATTATATAATATTTATAAATATAAATGTTTTAAATAACACTTGTAATAAATATTTTATTATTATAAATATAAACATTATATATTATATAATATTTATAAATATAAATATTTTAAATAACACCTAACTTAATAAGCCATTTCAATTGATACTATTTTGTAGATATCTCACCAATTGACAGAACACAAAGCTAAAGAATAAATTGAAGTATCGTCCACTGCATTTGAGGAAACAACGCTTGCGCGTTGATCGAGTGTTAGCTGTTACGGGGACATATCTCGGTTTTCAAAGTATATTCTATATAATTTCCTGACGAAATAGTGCTGAATGCCAATGTATTTCACGCGGGCATGAAACATTCGGCTTCCCATTTAGTTTCCGTGCCTCGAAATACGACGTTACTGTCTCCGAATGCGCGGTACCGAGTCCATGCAGGAATACTCCAAGATGAATGACTTCTCTTGTCCCTCCTAAAAGGCTCATACATTCCGTCCTCGCTGGCGATAATGCCATGGCTCTCCGTTTCTTCCAGTCCCACGAAATTACTCTGTTTCCCAACAGGAAACACGTGCGTGATGTCCAATCGTCCAGAGATTCACCCCAATCGGCGTCCATTCGTCCACCAGTGGTGCTCGTGATTGCCTTGTGTTAGGATTCAAATCAAAAAGTGACTGCATTTTTTTTCTTTTTCTTTCTTTTTTTTTTTTTTTTGCGTGTAAGTGAAAAGGATTTTTTCGTGAAAAAACAAGAACTTTATTAACCCTCGGCTTAAATGATCAACGCGGCGAGCCGACACCAAAATTTATTCTCAAGTCCGTACGTATCCATCGACATCGAAGTGACGTTTCCGTGCTTTTACTTTCCGTTCGACGTGTTATTGGGTTAAGTTCAACTCTCCAACAGCCGGATTTAGCCACCGTTGGAAAATCAGTCAAACGAACAACCACTGTCGATGCATTTATCGTTTCTGCTAACGCGTCGCTGTCCGCTTATACCGTCGTTTCCGTCCCGAAAATGGCAGGCGGGTGAAATCCAATGGCTTCAGCCTTGTCCGAATCCTGGCCGCGATGTTCCTTTCGAGGGCAGTTCGGAAGCCCTCGCGTTCGATTTTGTAACATCTGCTACACCGGTATTTGACTCCCCTCACTTTTTTTTCATCGCGTTTAGTCTCTTCTTTCTTTTCTTTTCTTTTCTTTCCCCCACTTAAATACTTTGTTCACTTCACTTCATGAAGAAGAACAAGCTCATACTGTGAAATACGTATGTATGTACAAAGGATCGAAAATTATATATTTGTCGAAGCGTTATGTTTGAAAACTGTATTTGCTGATGTGTACAGTAAATCTAGTGCAGGTCAAGTTTATTATGCAGTGTATATATAATATATGTAAATATAATAAATATAATATATGTAATATATATAAATATAATAAATATAATATATGTAATATATATAAATATAATAAATATAATATATGTAATATATATAAATATAATAAATATAATATATGTAATATATATAAATATAATAAATATAATATATGTAATATATATAAATATAATAAATATAATATATGTAATATATATAAATATAATAAATATAATATATATAAATATAATAAATATAATAAATATAAATATAATATATATAATATATATAAATGTATATATATGCAATAATTGTAAAATAATATGATATTAAGAGGATACGTGAGGGAGAAAGAGAGGAAACTAGAGTCGAGAAAATATGTGAACAGTATGAATTTGATCATTGAGCAGAATAAACAGTGTGGATCTGATCGTTGAGTGGAGAAGAGCAGTATGAAATCGTGTAGGATTAAGTAGGCAACGTAGCTAGAATTTATCTAACACAATTCAATCCAGCTTAGTCTTATATATTTATTTATATTTCCTTTTGTATAAATACATGTAACATATAACATAAATAGTAATTTAAATGTACATAAAATATATATATGAATATTGATTTAATATATTTTTTGTATTAATTGCGGCACTTGATACTGGAAAAGAAACAAATAAATGTCATTTTGTTTTGAACATGTTAAAGATATTTCGTTTTCTACGATTCAACATTATGTTTTCTGTTTTTATCGAGTACAGTTGATGTATATTTGTCGGATTTTATTCGTCAATTTTAATTATTGTTCTTTGCAATGAGAAAATGTCAAGGCTAGAAAAGTGAAAATGCAAGCGAAATCGTTGGAGAGCATTTTAAGTTTAAATATTTGTAAATTAGCTTATTTTGAATTTGAATATTTTTTAATTTACATCGTATGTTGCGGTTAATTTTTAATGTTATGTATTTTCTTGTCATTACAGTGGCTGGGTTTGGGTATTATGGCGATAGGTGTTTGGGCATGGACCGAGAAAGACACATTCAATAATTTGTCTAGGCTGACAAATGTTGCGCTCGATCCAGCATTTATCCTCATTCTAGTCGGTAAGTAAAGATCTATATAAAAAAATTAGCCTTCTTTTCATTTCAGTCGATTAAAATTTCAATCTTACGAATATTCAACCTTGTAAATAGATATGCCAGTATTGAGGAAGAATGATTTTAACTAATTTGCATTTTACAAACGTGCACGTCGTACGCGAAACAGCGAAATGGCAAAATATTTACTATACAGGATATTCCAAAATTTAGCTTCAAACTTTATCGCTACAGATAAAAATGAGACTAAATTCTCGTCCAAAGGAAGCTCATAAAAGCTTCGTTAAAATGTAACAAAAATATGAAACGTAAAGCTATACTTACACATACATATGTATGTGTATTTCGAAAAACGTCACCACCTTTTATGAACGCAAAATTGTTATCGAAATATTATTGAATTTATCGTGGATCGATATTTCGCATCAACTTTTGTCGAATTTCTTCACGCCCAATCTCGATTCTTATAATCAATTCCCCTCGTGTAAATTTTGCTTTTAACATATTGTTGAAGTTGTTCGCACTCGTGTTTGTCACACTTTGTATTTTTATTGTGACTTTTTTGCTTCATGATATTTTGGTCTTATTTTTATTTGTAGAATGTTAAACTTCAAAATATACAAAAAGCATGGTCCGTTTAACCCTCCGAGTACCACAGCATAGTGACCTATGCCGGAGTCACTGTTAATTCACTAACATCATAGCGGCTCAAGCTCGAGACTCCCACCAATACTGTACGAGCACAGTTACGGTTGTTCGAGCTCTAGACGTAACTATAATACAATGTAACAGATTTCGAGTTATGCTCGGATTTTCGTTGTATGTCGACAAACAAATAAATAATAGATTGGTAGATTATAAAAAAAATTATATGTACTGCGAAGTAGTATTGCATTCATTACATATAATTTTTTGGATTTTTGTTGAGTGGGCATTGCAAACATTTCTTTTGCATGAATAGCACATAAGCGAGTATCTGTTATTACTTTCTATACAGAAACAGCACCTAGCACGCTTATTGTAATAAAAGGATGATTGTATGGTGGATTGTATTTCACTAACTGTACAAATATTGCGTGTATGATACGAATCTGGGAAATGTGTATCGCTTCTCTCCTCGTGAAAGGCTGACTGACTGTTGCTAAGAGACTAAATGTTGCTACGTGACTTTTTGGTGCCAGCCAAGGATCCTTTTNTCCTAGGCTTGGCTTTATTTCTACCCTTACCGAGATGGGAGAATACCAGGCCATCTGGAAATTCTCGGCAAGGTCGAGCTGTGGTGGGGATGATGTCATTTTTCGCCTCACACAAATATGTAGCTTCTCACTGTGTGCGTCATCGTTTTCAAAATGACGCGGTGCGACGAATCGCCAGTGACTCAGACATGGTATTCGTAGGGTCATTTCGAATTGCGATGATGCAAAAAATATTTTTCACCTAACACGAACAATATCGAAAGGCTAATAACTGAAAGGTCAATGTTTTTCTTTCATTTTTTAGTATTATTATTAAGTAGCTGGTAAGAAAATACGTTACAGATATGCAAAGAATATAAAATCGAACATAAATATAAAATCGAACAGCTGCAGTTCGTCCGACTCGTTCCATACCTCGCATCAACCATTTCCGGTCATTTATCACCCTCAGGCTGCAACCTTATCCCTTCGAAGGATCACGAAGTTCCTAGAAAGTCCAAGGATCTTTTGTGTCTGTTTTATGTCTTTCCTTCTACGTGGAGTCTGTGGGATTCTGTGTATTATCGAATTTCTTTACATTCGGCCATGCTGTGCTCAGACACAATACAGTGACTTTGTATGATTAAGTGTACGAACATTTTCTTTTACAGCTGAAACATACATAACTGAACATTTTAATATTTAATGCACTTGTTCTGTTAACCTCTTGCGCTGGAATGACGTACGTGCCACGTACATACGTCGAGAATTTTTTGTGCGACATTTTCTCAGTTTTAAGTCATATTTAAATGTAACCTAGGCAAAACAAATAATAAATTATTATACTTCTCGATAATTTCTATCCAGTGATATCACACCGACGAGTTTTCAAAAGAAAAAGAAACGCGACGAATTATTGTACACGGTGTCGGTCACTCGTTATGGTCCGCGCAACCAGCTGCCACCGCAAAGGAGGCGAAATCTAAATTCATCTCTTCTTCCTCTTATTTTCGTTTGTACGTAGTAGTACGTTTGTTTTCAGCATCATGGCGTAATTTTTGACACCATAGATACTACAATACTAATACTACGCTTGACTTGTACTAGAAACAATGCTGCATAATGATCGTTTGAATCACTGACTTGAAGGTAACCATTTCAAGACAATAATAGTGTACAGGATGTATATGTACCAGTTTTCATGATCCACGAAAGATTTTTCTTTTTTAATTTACTCTTTTCCTTGAGAATTCATTTTCTAAGAAAAGCAAATTTCAAGATTTGTCAGACATTCTTGAATTTTGTCTTGTGACGTGGAACGAGGAAACCTGACAATGAGTCGAAACTTTCTCCTGTGTGGTCCAAGAGCGAGCCAATCGTTGCCTGCCGAGTGTCGGTTGCAATTGTTGTAGCGAAAGCTAGGCCTGGGATTGTTTCCTTTTGCCGCCCAGATCTAGAACTTAAAATATTAGGGTATGATTGTGTTTGTGCATGTGAGTGCGCGAGGGACCAAGGTTTGAAAGTATTTGATGAATTCCTAACAACAAACTATAGATTTAACGAGAGTTCTAATATTTCTGCCATCGCCGGGACTTATTTCTATCAATTCCTAACAGTAACGAACAATTTACGTGAAAAAGGCAATAGAAAATATAAATATGAAATTTTTCAAATTTAAGATTTCGTTTGAAGGAAAATAGACTTTCAATGTGAGTTATTAAAAATTCCCCTGGTACATTTCTGTATTAAATTTAACTTCCGCGGGGACAAAGTGTCGTGTGAAAAAATTTTCTCTTCGTTTACTCTCGCACGTAGAATAACCTTCTGTCGATTCCAGTCCGGAATTAGTATAATTCAATATATTATAAAGAAATGCTTGATTTTCTGAAGACGAAGAGTCGTGTAAAAAAAATTTTATTCCAGGAATAAAACCTTCACGTAATGAAATTTCATCCTGCATTTGCATCGTGTTACAATTTAAAATTGTTCACGGTGCGTTACGTAAATTTTAGTCTAGAGCACGTATTGTAGAATTTAATAAAAACGAAGCATACAACAGCGAGTTAACTTTCGAGAAACTTTCAGAATATTTTGAAGCGCACGTACGAAAGATTATTTGATGAAACCAACTTCGCAGTTCATTTCTGATAAACGTCACGTCGTAAGTTCAATAAACTTCATTCGTGTTGTCGATCAGAAACCATTGCACGTGCTTCGCTATCATGCCTTCACGGTATAACACAGGCTAACGCGCGCATACACACACGCTTATGCACGCGTGCTTGCAAGTACTCATGCACATATAATACGTGGATATGGGATTATTATTATTATCATTATTACTATTATTTCGATAGAAATATCACTCAAAAATATTGTAATTTATAATTAATATTATTTATATTATTATACATTAGTATTAATTATTTTAATATTATTGTTATTTCGATAACATCACTTAAGAATATTGTAATTTATAATTAATATTATTTATATTATTATTTACATTAGTATTAATTATTTCAATATTATTATTATTTCGATAGAAACATCACTTAAGAATATTGTAATTTATAATTAATATTATTAATATTATTATACACAGTAATATATTTTTATAATTAATAAGATACTAGATACAAGATAGGAGAAGATTATCCGTCCAATCTTCGTCTTTTTTTTTTTCTTTCGTCTCTTTTTCGAGAATTTTTCAAACCTGCTCTTTATTGCGCTTCTCTTTCATATACATAAACACACGCAAACTTTACAATAACTTATGTACATAAGTATTTTCACATATATCGTACGCTACTGTTATTGACAAATTGATAGTCGAAACATTGTAGAGCATTGTGAATGGGATTTATTACTACAGACAATACGAGGGCATTCCGACAAGTTTGCCATAAAAGGTAGAAAACCACTCGTGGTGTAGCTAAACGTAATGATGAGAATCCACAAATGTCCTGCAAGCAGTCCAAACATCGTAGCAGGGACTAACGTTTCCTGGAGCTGTGCAATGCTAAATCGAATTTGCACGTGATCTGGTCAACCGTTTCCAAAAGAACAAAAAATCAAGCGGCCAGGAACGCAGTCTTGAAAACTTTGGAGAGGAAAGAGTCCGATTTACGGATAATCGCGTTTCATTCCTCTCGTCTGATTGACAGCACAGCGACTCGTTCCACGTAAATATTCTATCGTGCACGTTTAAACTTTGAGAAAGAAATTTACGTGGCATCTTATTACACACACGCGCTTGCTTTCTTTCAACTTGCTTTCTTTCTGTTAGCTACGAAAACTTCTCGATAAGATGTTGGATGACCAATTGAATCTATGCAAATAATTTAATGTTTATAATAAGTATAGTATATAATATATTATATATATAATATAATAATTTAATATTGTTTATAATAAGTATAGTATATAATATAATATAATATATATAATATAATAATTTATAATAATTATAATTAATTTATAATAATTTTATAATAATTATATATATAATATAATAATTTAATATTGTTTATAATAAGTATAGTATATAGTATATAATATAATATATTATTTATATATAATATAATAATTTAATATTGTTTATAATAAGTATAATATATAGTATATAATATAATATATTATATATATATAATATAATAATTTAATATTGTTTATAATAAGTATAGTATATAATATATAATATAATATTATATATATATAATATAATAATTTAATATTGTTTATATTAAGTATAGTATATAGTATATAATATAATATATTATATATATAATATAATAATTTAATATTGTTTATAATACTGACAGTAAGCTAGTAACAGTCCACATAAAAGTGGACTGCGAATAGTTAGTCATAAGGGTGAGATCCAATAGTTGGTCATCTATGCTCCTTCCCCTTCCACTTGACAACCAAATATATGTAAGGACATGCTTTAGAGACATTCTCACTCATAAAACATTCTAAATCAGATTATAGAGACATTCTATATCGTTAAGAGCATTAGACATTCATCATATTCTAAGACATTCTCAAATCATTGTATATCATCCTATTTCATACACGACCACGACTGTAAGGGAATAAACTCTTCTAAATTGTAAGCGTGTTGACTCCATTACACGGAATCCAACAAAAAGAAGTGAGAAATAAATTTTAGCTACCAATTGTACCCGATTTAAAATTGGGTAAATAGAAAAGAAACATTTCAAGCATCGCTTAACCCCTTGTTCTGGCAACTGGCTCGCGGACCTTAACGAGTGACCGAACCGTATACGATAATTCGTCGCTTGCCTTCTCTTTCGAACTTTGTTGTTGTATGATATCACTGGATAGAAATTACGGAGGAGGAGGTTGTTATACTTAAATATACTTGAAACTGAGAAAAATGTTGCGACTTGGGGGAAAAAGATTCTCGACGTGCGTGGCAAGAGGTCAAAATACCAGACGCACGCTTTAAATAAAATGGTATTTTAAACAAGAGATAGAATCTCCCAGCAAATGAAATATTTTTCTTTTGATCGCCAAAGACTTTTCCTCGTCATTTTATTGAACGTTGAATGTTAGGCTTAGATAATGAAAATTCAAGAAATCGTTACATTTTCGTCTAACGTCAAAGCTCGATAGGGAAAAAAAAAAAAAGAAAAATGTACAGCAAGTTTTGAGAAATCGTTATAAAGAGGAGACATTCAGCTCTTAATACCATGATAAACTTAGTCGTGAAAGAAATTTTTTTAACGCCTTCACAGGCATTTCAATGTTTACGATCTTTGAGAATTAATAGTATCTCTACTCGTCTATTTGCTATTACGATATAAAAATACCTTTGAAAGAAACCAACGGAGGTCTTCACACACCGCAACGAAGCCAACTGGATTTATTTATACGATTTTGAAACACACGCGGACAATTTTTCACCGAGTGTCAGAAAAGTATGGAAGATTTAATCTTATGTATGCGTTTACCAAAAATTCTAATTACTGATGCTCCTTCCTCTGCAGAGAGGAAGGAGAAGGAGAAAACAGATAACAAAGCAACGATGAGAAATTTCCCCCAGGGCTGATTATTCGGCGGTGTTGTTAAAGTTTTTCCCGAGTCTGCAGCTTGGAAAACTCGTGCCGCGGCTTCTAACTTTTACGGCTCGAGCCTCAAAGGTTTTAAGGATCGAATTGTAAAAGCTGATATCTACGCTCGAATCCTTAAACTCGGTGGCTCGAGCTGCCCGAATTGCATACAATTTAAATGTAACTAAAAGATTAAAACATTTAGCACGTGATAAACGCTCAATTGTATGTCAAAAACGATGACACAAGAAAAACCTTAGGAACACCAATCATCAAAGAGGAAATAAAAATACTAAAGCGCGCAAGGACTCATTAACACCAAAATCAAAAATCACAGGTACCTGGCAAAAGACTATTACTCCCTAGAAGACTGAAAAAGAAACACCCGCTAGACCTTACTAATTAACAAATGAAATACAACCAAACATGTATAAAACGGAACTAATCCCATAAAAAAAACTAGTGATTACCGATAACTGTATCGAAATCCACACGATCTCAAACAATAATGATATAAAAAAGGAAGATAATTGTAACTGAACAATTAGACTTAAACACACGGAACAAATAAGAAAAAAAAAAATTTAAGATTGAAGATTTAGTGACTTTTCTACTGCATCGCCATGCTCTTTAGAGAATATGAAATGGAAATTTTCGTAGGATGATTATTACAAATGATTAAACTGAGACAGTTGAATTTCATAATTTCAAGTATTCGTATTAAATTCTCTCAGTGAACGTGTACACTTCGTAACATCAATAAAATATAATGTCTGTTGAATACTTAATTTCGTATAAAAAAGGAAACTGAAATTCATAAAATTATTTAAAATTATTACCGTTCTGGAGTTCATAATTAATCGCCTTGGGATGTGCAGTCGATGCGACAATGCTGTTAATGATAGAAATTAAATTAAATGAAGAATTTCAAAGTTATGTAATTTAGTCCTCAAATTTTTGTTGAAAACTTATTGAAAATTTGTAAAGAAAGCAATTTTTATATGCTATTAACTAATTTTATTTCCATCAAATAGAACATATTTTTCACACATGTTATCGTTTGTTCGAAAACTTAACTTACGTGTTGTTAATTTAGCAAATAGATAAAAATTTACGTATATTTAAAAAATAACAAGATTAAAGATTAAGTCGCATTAAGACAAAATTATCATTACATGTATAAATATATTGAACTAAATTGCTTATCTAACTTTCGTAATTTTCTATCTGTATATGTATGAATTACACGCAAGAGATCCCCCTTGGAAACATAATTAATTCCATTTGTGGAGTGCAACTGTTAGTCGAGACATAGTTGCTAATTTTCAATACGAAACTTCCAGCAATTATTAATGGTATCTCAACATTCGTATCAGAGGATTGTGGTCTCGTAGCAATTAGTACTGCGGATGACTTATTGAATTATTGAATTGTTCAGGAAATTTAGACGGATATTACTTTTCATTGGACATTACACTACAATACATCGCACAAATAGAGAATCAATCAATAAATGAGATATCGTCTTTCAATCTCAAATCTATAGGGTGAATCACATATTTTAAATATCACCGTTGCTTTTGAAGACACGAAAACAATTTTGTTAATAAAAATTAATTATATAATACTGAGGGGACCATAATGTGACAGTTGTGTATCGCCAAAGAAATAAAACACATAGCGTGGTCACTGAAAGACTGAATGATGTGATTTTACAAACACGTGTTTTTTAAATTATTTTATTATTTTATTTGGAAATAGAATTTTCCTTAATTATTTTTTCATTATTTTATTTCGAAATATAATTTTTTTAAATAATTTTTTCATTATTTTATCTGGAAATATAATTTTTTTTAAATTATTTTTTCATTACTTTATTTGGAAATATAATTTTTTTTTAAATTATTTTTTCGTTATTTTATTTGGAAAATATAATTTTTTAAAATTATTTTTCCATTATTTTATTTGGAAATAGTATATATACATTTATTATTAATACAAGAAATGTATATTTCTGTAGTTCATAAGCCATGTAATTTATCAACAAGATATTTCCGATTCCTAACGATTCAAAAAAAAAACATTTCGTTACTCGAAAGAAACTCGTCGACATTTCTTATTATAAAGTCCAATTATCTTCTTTCTATTCTTATTTGACAAATACTTCAGCATTTTCACCGGACATCGGTTTAACGAATATAAGGTTCACTCGTTGTTAGTTGACTTAAACGAAAATATACAAAAGGAGAGAGGTTTTCATAGTTTTTGCGCAAAAACGTAACACGTTGGAAACTAAATGGATCTCTATATAATCATTCGGCAAATCCATTTGCACCGAAACTACACATATGCGTTCGATCTTTATACTTTGTATTGTATATCAGTGCAAATGCGTATTCTCGTTTGCACGTTATGCTCGAAATATTGTTAAATAGCGTGGTGAGCACGAACGAGTAGATGAAACTGGCTATGCTGACTGTGAGTGTACTATAATTATGCTGTACTACTTACACTGTTATATTATAATCAGTATTCTATACTGTACTATTATACTATTATTATTACATTACAATCTGTATTCTATACTGTACTATTATATTATTATACTATAATCTGTATTATATTATTATACTGTTATAGTATATTATTATACTATTATAGTATATTATATACTACTATACTATATACTATTACACTATTACACTATAATCTGTATTTTATACTGTACTATTATATTATTATACTATAATCTGTACTATATTATTATACTCTTATAGTATACTATTATACTATTATAGTATATTATATACTACTCTACTGTATACTATTATACTATTACACTATAATCTGTACTATACTATTATACTGCTATAGTATACTATTATACTATTATAGTATATTATATACTACGATATTATATACTATTATACTACTGTACTTTATACTATTATACTATTACAATACACTATTATACTGTTGTATGATCAGTATATAAATGGTATTTCAGTCGATGAAATTATCAAGGATATATTATTCTGACAGCGCATCGATCAATGTGATCTTTATATTTTTTTAGTGAAAACATAATTTTTTATTCTTTATAAATATTTTAAAGCCATTGTCTAATACAGTGGAATATTGTATATATATATATATATATATATTAAATTTGAAGAATTATAATTATGTAGTTTGCGTATCTTTATGCAATTTCAAATTTTCAGAAGCACAGTTGAAAAAGAATGTAGTCCAAACAGAGATTTATTTCCTAAATCATTTATAAATGTTATAACAGGTACTTGGCTTTGAATATTTCATATTTACGATTTATATAAATTCTAGAGACTCTTGCACTTCTAAATTTTTCACGAGGACTTAAAAATCCGCAATCCGATTGTAATACATCGTTTGTCGTTATTCCATAAATATAACTTCTGAATAAAATAAAGTAATTCTTTGAGAGATGATAAAGTTTAAAAGACTTCAGGAGTGAAAGATAAGAATTAGATATTTTGTACACGCGTAATAAATAGAACAGAGTGGCAGACAAATTTAACGTCTAGACTTAGTATAAATACAGTAGCAACGTAATATATTTAATTCAAATAATTTTTCTTCTCTTGCAGGTACAGTGACATTTATCATCGGATTTACGGGATGTGTTGGTGCACTCAGGGAAAATACGTGCCTCCTAGCTACGGTAAGCATTTGAATATTCAATAAACCATTTGCGGATTACTTTAATCATTTTTAAGCACACGAAGACGTATCTTTTCATATGTAGATTTCTATATTTTATGGAAAAATCTTTTCAATCCAAGCGCTTTTAATCACAGGATATTCAAATTTATGAGATATTATTGAAAATAAAGTTCCTCCTGCGCTCCTCGAATAAAGAGAATTCGTGAAACCAAAATAATTCAATATATTCAGTTATTATACATGTACATGTACGTATAAATATAAATTTGAAATCTATAATTTTACTTTTTCTTAGATTATCATTCAAGTTTCAATTATATCACACATGTTATAATGTTAGCATTAATTTTATAATGATTTTTAAATTGTAAATAAATTTTAGTAAATTGTAGTAACAAAAAGATCAATGGCTACTGTATTTGCACAAAAATGTAAATAGAAACTACATTTACGTTTAGTGTTAAAACATTATATTATTCCAACTAATGTGAATAATTGTGAAAGAAATTAATTATATTAATTATATTATTCCAACTAATGTGAATAATTGTGAAAGAAATAAGTAATATTAAAATGGAAAGATAAGGATATAAGTTTATCTTTAACTACAGGATTTACAGGCACTTGTCTGATATCTGTCATTGTTATTGTTCTCTGGATAGCTTCACATTGATTGTTAACGACTTATAAACACTTGTAGTGATTTATAATAGTCGTCGGCGTTGAAGAGCGAGTATAAGAGTACTCACAGTCCCAGCAATTCTACAAACTGGGCAAAGTTTTCTTAAAAAGTAAAAGGAGCACTTGGATTGCTCCCTTTGTTACCACGAAACTACAGAATCAGCTTTCAAGTTTCCCCCAAATATATTGCTTGTTCCCTCAGACAGCTGAAGTCGAAGGAGACTGACAATAGACGAGACCATTGTATTTTGTAACTTAAATTATTTGTACGTAATTATACATAAATTAAAATTATCACATTTGTGCTTCGCCAATTCTTTTCATTCTCACATTTAAGCCTTTAACATAGATAACAATATAGTATAAAGCATTAATTTGATTTATTAACAGAATTAAGAATTAATTTCAAAAATATCGCGTTGCAATGATTTGAAGTGGTAATTAAACTCATTTGTAACTGACGTGGATTGTGCAGTTTGTAATCAGAATTTGTAATTACCGTATAAACACTACTAGGTATCGAGCAAATAAACAATCAACAATGCTGTTAATGCTAACTTTTCCGGTATGGCAAATCGATTCATAATATTGCGACAGATGATTACATAACACTGCTATTATGTTGTGGTTATATTGTAACAATTATCAGGCAAATTTATAACCTTTACATTTTGTGGATCGTCAATAATCAAATAAATAAATACGAACACTCGATGATGAATGATCGTACTCTCGAAATGTTAATCTGCATTATGTGTAATTATATATTACTATACAAGTATACACAATTGAAGGAAATAATAACTGTGGAAAAATAGAACTGTTTGATACGATTTTCACAAAATATTTGATATAGAAAATATATATCTAAAGCAAACATATTTTCGTTGGATCATTTTGCAGTAGAAAAACAGTGAGAATTTTGCTTGAAGCATGTAATATGCTACACATTTCCTTTTCTACGCGTTTTACCACGCGTTTGCTTTGCAATCGTTCCGAAACGATGAACACGTCTCTTTTTCCAAACACAAAGACATTTTAAATTTTGTTTTTATGTTAAAAGAAATTTTATTTCCATGTTTTATATTCACAAGTTCTGTTTTATACGTGGAGGAAAAAAGTTACTTTTGATCAAAGGAAAAACTGTGGAATTAAAATCCAGATAATCAACACATTATTATTATTTTATTTGTTGCACCATATATGACGATATATTTCTCATTTAAATTTAAATATAATGTATTAAATATAATGTATAATATAACAATTTAAGTTTTGAAATTGAAATTATTGATCTTTTCAAATAAAAATGTGAAGTTCTTTGTCCTTAATTAATACAACACTACACCATTACATAATATTGTACAAAAGCCGCTGTATGATATTATATAATTTTACATCTCATTTTATATTTAAAATGGCAATCGTAATTCCATGATTTTACATTTATAATATTTATTCCAGTATGCGATATTTCTGGCGTTATTGTTGTTAATGGAGATGGCAGCCGGTGTTTTAGGCTTTGTCTTTAAGGACTGGGTAAGTTCCATTGTAAATCTATTAATGTTTTTAGAAAAATTTTCTAGACACTGTTTATTGGATTATGGATATTAATTTATTGTTACGAGTTTTTAATTAAAAACTAAATTTTTTCGAAAACGATTTCAACAATGGCAGTATCTATTTCAGTGATATTTATAAAAGCTTCGCAACATTTTCCTCTGTTAATATTCATAACATTTGGCGTAGGTTGATGCAGGAAAATTCTTCATAAATTTATGATGCACTTTATTGTATAATTGTCTCGTAAGCTTCTGTAGGGACTTCACCAGTGTACTCTGTGGATAAAAATAATAAAAAAAATAATGTCATAGGTCTGATATTCCCATCTTGTTAATTTTAACTAAGTTTTTATGGAAAGTTGTACATTTTCATTACGTATTAATTAAAATGTTTGAATAAATTGATTTGTTCAAATATTTGTAGATTCATTTATAATTTGCGATTATAATTTATAATTAAAAAAATTTGTAATTTATTGCAATGACGTTCATTTATTTTATTTATATATGATTTGAGTCATGCAATTTTTATATAATAATAAAAGGAAAACCTTAGAAAGAAAGGGAACAGGAGAAATAAGACATTATTTAATTTAACACGTAGAGAATATTATGCTATGGAATATTAAAAGTAATGTTCGTAAAAATATTGAAATATATTTTCGTAACTATATTTATAAAATACATGCTCGTGAAACTATTTAAATCATGTTTTATTATCATCATATTGTATTTAAAAAATATTATATGAAATTCGATCGATTTGCAATTATTCCATTAGCAATGATGATCAAGTTAATCTTAATTTGTATTAAAAATGTACTTATACTTAGTAGTATGAATGTACTTATATTTAGTAGTACACATGTAATTTTATTATCAAGATGAAGTAGATCTTTTTTTTTTTTTTTGAAAATTTGGATACTATAAAAATTTATATACAGCTAAAAATAGTTGATGAAAATGAGAATTTCAATTTTTACGACTCAACGTTTAAACCTTTGAGGTTCAAACTTTATTTGAACAACATTACCTGCAACTTATTGTCAAAAACAGAATTAATATGTCGATTTGACGTGCAGATAAAGTCACAAGCCACTGGCGGTTTCCAAGCGTTCATCATTCACTATCGGGAAGATCCTGATCAGCAGAATCTCATCGATTGGATTCAAGAGGATTGGGTATGTATCGTTATTTATATAGAACTATATTATATATACATTACGAGCAATCTTCTTAAATTCTATGTATATAAATATATTCGGCAGTGCAACATACGTAAAAGGAAGATTTTTAACATTAATTTTTATAATAAACGTTGGTTTAAACTACACATATTCTTGATATACGTATGTCAAAAAAAAATTATTAGTTTAGAAAACACTTTTCCTGGTTTAGAAAATTAATTTAGGAAATTATACTAAATTTAGGTTCAATTTTATAAAAATTAAGACAAGAATAGTACGAACATAATAATAGTGTTCCTGTCTTTCCACAATTTAAATTTTTTCACGATGGATTTTAAAACTAAAATAACCTCCTGAACTAATAGTCTTTTGATACGTATAGATTAATACTTTTTTATAGAGAATGTCGATTAATGGATAAAAAAATCTGAAAAATTGAAGGCAACCTTTATATCTCAGTGAAAGAGCAAAGTAACAGAACGATTATTATATGTATTATATGTCACGCAACTTTTGTTTGAAACATTTTTTTTTTTTTTCGTACAGCGAGTAACTTACAAATTACTTCGAGTTATCGTGTTAAGAGGCTCGCCCTGTATAATTATATTTCTCGGCAATATATTCATGAAAATCATTGAAATCGATGAGGTCTGCCGTGTTCTGTATAATTACCAATAACACAATGTTGCTTATTTCGTGTTTCAACAGTAAATTGGCAACAGCGTAATGGTTTCATCTATATCATGTTCGCTTAATAATTGTATTAATCATACTGAATCGTCGTAAACAGGTGCTTTTATGGACGAAATAAACACTGTACATTTCTTAAAAAATATATATATATATATATTTATTAAATGTGTATATATATTTATGAAATATATATATTTTTTGATTCACGTTATGATAATCAATATTATCTCTGACAGAATGTCTTTAATCAACTGGAAGTACATATTCGAAAGTAGTCAAAAACATTAAAACCGTCGAGGTGTAAAATATTATTGGAATGAATAGAATGAAATTAATTAGCAATTTAAATTGGATCAGCGGACACAAAATAACTTTCAAATATTTATCCGATTAAAAACTATTAGCATAGCGTAAGGTGTGCACATCGGAATGACAAACCGTGAAAAATTAAATAAAAAAATTTATTAGTAATGTTGGAACTATGATAAATAAAAAAATTTATTAGCGATGTTGAGACTATGATAAATAAAAAATTTTACTAATAATATTGGAACTATGATGAATAAAAAAATTTATTAGAGATGTTGGAACTATGATAAATAAAAAAATTTATTAGTGATGTTGGAACTATGATAAATAAAAAAATTTATTGATAAAGTGGATTATGACTCGGTTCTGTAAATGTGTATTTTAAATATCGCACTTATTATTAGTTCCTCCAATTATTATTATTAAAGCGTATGATGTTGCTGTTAATCATATGCAGTCTAGAATGCATATGATTAACAGCAATTCAAAAAAAAAAAAAATATTATCCCAAGGAATACATTATTGATCAAAATTAGTGTGGTTGAAATAACATTGATCGGTTTGGCAGATTTAAGTATAGAAAATAATGGAAATTTAGTTGATGATTAAATATTTACATATAACACAGAGTAATTTGAGCTAATCACGCTTCTGTGGTTTAGTCCATGTATTGTTACACCCATATTTTGAAATTAATTGAAACGTAGATAATATGAAGGTAATGAATTTACTATCTATTATATATTATTGTTGTTATTATTATATACTTTTTATTATTGTTGTAATTTATTTTAATAATTTATTATTTATTTTAATTTACTTTGTTACTTTATTATTTAATAAATAGAATGTAGGCACTTTGTCACAAAATACAATGAAAGAAGATATATATAATTTTATTTTTCCAAAGAAATATCAATAGTATTAAAATAATTTACAATTACCTCTGAAATACTAAACTACGGATTTTTATGCACTTTTAAAATTTTAAGCGTGTAACTAAAAAACTAGAACCTAAATAAACATTTATTTCGCCTACTATATACTAATATATATACTATTTTTATTTAGTTAATCTGTAGTTTAGTATTTCAGACGTAATTATTTTAGTAATTATATTAATATATATATATATATATATATATATAATATTACAATAATATAATTTTATATATATATATATATATATATATATATATATATCTCCTTTTTTATTGCATTTTGCGACAAAGTAAGTACCTACATTCTATTTACTAAATAATAAAGTAACAAAGTAAATTAAAATAAATAGTAAAGTAGTAAAATAAATTATAATAATAATAAAAGTATTCTAATAGTACACACTCTTGGATATTTTTTATACTTCTTGCGTACTACATGTATTGAGCATGTTTTTAAAACTTTCAATTCCATAGTCTTATCGTCACAAACTTGAACGAGATGTTGAAGTGAATACTCGTGAGATAAAACATTGCGCGCGTATTGTGTGTAGAAGTATATTATTAAACTTCTGTAGAATGTAACCAGCTGCGTGTTCCATCGTAGAATTTATTAATTAATGGTTTACCAATCAATGCGAAATTTCAATAGAAACGCTAGTATGTCATTTTGATTCCGACAATTCTGTCAATAGTGGAGCAGCTGCACCAATCCTCTGTACTCTATTGTATGTCAGTTCAGTTCCTGTAAATATCTGAAACATTATCACATTATTATTCCAAATGGACATTTTTTCCATCTGTAAACAGTTAATGAAATGTTTAGCATTTTGACATAGCGTGCAGTAAGAGTGTTCATTTGAAGTCGTATACTATGAAAATCGTACAAGAATTATCGACAATTAAACGTTTAAACAGTTAAAATTTATTAACGTTACAATTTATATGCATGTGCTAAGGTAATTTTTAACGTACATTTGATTAAACAATGGAAGAAATTTTATTCTACATTTTTTATTTATTTTTGCACGTAGGAAAATTTTACTTTTTATTTATTTTTAGACGTAAAAAATTTCATTCTTTATTCTCGACTTATCTTTTCGATGTATTATAGAATCACTCTCTCCTCGATTCTATCACCAATTCTGAGATACTCTGTGTAATATTTAAATCCGATATAAAACTCTGATGCTTACTTATAAAAATACTGTTCAATATTTTTTAATTTTAATATTAATATTAATATATATGTTAATATAATAATATTTTAATTTTAATATTAATATTAATATATATGTTAATATAATAATATTTTAATATTAATATTAATATTAATATTAATATATATGTTAATATAATAATATTTTAATTTTAATATTAATATTAATATATGTTGATATAATAATATTTTAATTTTAATATTAATATTAATATATGTTGATATAATAATATTTTAATTTTAATATTTCCGGCGATATATACTACGTAAGATGAATTTTCCTTCGATTTTGAATTGTTTCGTCGCCATACATGTGGTGCTATCTCCTCGTTTATGAGTTCCAATACAATCGATGAACGAGGTTCATTGTCAAAGCGCAAAGTCAAAGAATCATTTGGGTTATTGTACTAAAAGGAGAAACTCTTGATGTGAAGTCAGGGAGTTGATGTGAAGTCTTTAACATCTAGTCACGTGCAGGCAAATCTAACACGAGGTTAGATAACCGCAGGAGATTGAAACTTCGTGAAATCGGGCTGTCACTGGGAAAGATGGTGCAGGCAAACTTGATGCAATATCGGCGAAACTAGGAAGATAGAGAATATCATAGATGCTACTCGACACGAGGTAGAAAGCTCGTTAGAAGATCGGCGAAAATACAGATGAATCTGATGCGAGATTAGGAAATTGCGAATGAACCTAATTCAAAATTAGAGAGCCGCAGGAGAGATTCAGTTCTAGTTAGTTGAACTGAAATGATTTCGTTTGGAAACATTTCACTCAGATGTATGTACATTACCGGGCATAAATAATTGGAAAGCTTAATGCGATTCCATGAAAACTAAATGTTACGTTTCGACACTTCTAGTCAGTAAATGTTTCAGTATTGTTAATTTTCTGTATTTTTGAGTTTCGTATTCATTCTTCACTTGAGAAGATTTTTATAAACTTTTTTACATGTTTCAATCGTTCTAAAGTTTCAACAATGAATATATTTAAAATCGCTCTGTGGACTCTTCCAGCCAGCTAATTACTATAATATTAGCTGTTTATAATATTAACTGCTTTTGTCAATTTCATCTATTGATCGTACATGTTAAGATTAAATTAAATTAAAAAGATTCATCTGAATTGCAATATGAACTGTGTTTGCAATAATTTTAAAGTGTCCAAATACTTATACTCGTGCATGAACGAATCAGGAAGTATACTTAACTTTACTATGACTCTCGAAATTTTATATTTCAGTCTTCAACAAACAAAAAGAATTTATATAATATTTTTGAGAGACGTGTATTATGCAACTTAATTGGAGAATAACGCACACCGATTGAGAATGTTTTCACATTTTCGTGTTTAAATTGGAAATATAATTTTAATTTCCAGAGAAATGTGAAAATGATCGATAGAAATGACTCACTCAGTTTAAATAATTTTGAAATGACTAAATGTGTGATTTATTAGTCGAATACAGGATTTAATATTATTATTACAAACGTATCTTTATCGCGGATTAATTAAGTATGATCGTATGTTAACCTGAGTGCGCACAGTTTCGACACATTGATAATCTAGGGGCCAAGAATGTTTTTGAAGTATTATGGAACTCGATCCGAAGTGAAACTTTAAATTAATCTCATTAGACTGACTTTCAATGAACATGACGCGAAGTTGCATAGAAACTTTTCGCGACAGTCTGTTCGAAGAGCATGATTTTTTTTTCTTATATACGACGAAAATTTGAAAATTAATGTGACGGCGCTGATCATAATATTATCTACATGTTGAGAAAGCGTTTCTATATTCTAATCAAATATAATGGAAGAAAATAATTAAAGTTGCCTGCAATTAGATGGTTAATGATTAAGAAAATTTATCTTAGTTAAGTGATTTTAATTATTTAAAAACTTATCTTAGTTAAGCGATTTAAATTATGTCTGTTTAATGATGAAATGTCAGAAAATGCATGTATTTTTATGCAATATTCACATTTGAGTCATTTGAGTGACACAATATATATTCTTTGTTTCAGATTAAATTTAGTATAATTATAGAAGCTTAACAGTAGAAAAATGTTTGTCAACCGTAAATGTGGGAACGAAATCTTTTTACTGAACTATGATAGATGTCCAATTATTTATTCACGCTTTTTATGAATTTTGTGAAACAAATGACTAGCGATTTTTCGATTATGTTATACCAATTCACGTTGAGATAAGTGAATCCAATCAAGAAAAATTCATTTAATTGAGCAGAGTATATATATATATATATAATTCCATTTATATTATACATACTTCAGAGTTTACATATAAAAAGAACAGAACGACTTCAAATTAACGAGAAAAGGAACATTTCAGATTTTTTATTTTACATTGTACAATAATTAAAGTTGCCTTTAATAATATAATTAAGATTAATGTATTTAATATATTTAAATTATATATAATTATATTATAATTATATTTCATATATTTAATAATATAATACAATAACTAAAATTGCCTTCCTGAGTCTTCATTTGAAACTAGAAAATTTTCATTTGAAATATTTCTTCGTTAAATTAATCAGAACCAACGCGAATAAAATGAACAAATATATTTCTTGCTTGCAATATTTATTTCTATTCTGTAAAAATTTGATGAAACGTTTTTTTTTTTTTTATTTTACAGTTGCAGTGTTGCGGCATCGAGGGTCCTAAAGATTGGGATCGCAACAATTATTTCAACTGTTCGTCGAGCGATATTGGCTCGAGGGAAGCATGCGGCGTGCCTTTTAGCTGTTGTAAACGAAAGCCAAATGTAATTCTTCTGTTTCATGCAAATTTGTTCTGTATCACCTCCGACTGGAAATACGTTGCGTTTCTAGAAAAAAGAAAAAAGAGAAAAGAGAAATTAATTGCATGTAAATTGCAGTATTAATTTTTTCACGAACTGCACAACGTTTCATTACATTTAAATTTAGATTTTTAAGTATCGATCCACTAATCAATTTCTCCGGTGTTTTTTTCTTTTTCAGGAAATTATAAAAAATAAACAGTGTGGCTACGATGTTAGAAAACCTAGCTACGTAAGTAATTCTTTGAATTTGACATCACTTCTGACACTAAACTTCTAACACAATAAATCACATTATTACCAGTAAATTCTTACTTGTCGTGTTTGCAAGGTTACCTCTCTTAAAAATATTCTACTTCATACTAAAATTGCCCATGTTACTGCACTCGTTCATTCTTTTAATATGACGTGTCATCCTCACTTTTATTTACTATACTTGTCATCACGCATCCTCTTTCTTCTATTATTCCAAATAATTTTTCATTTCTTAACCATTGCCTCTCATATGTTTTGTATGTTAATAATTAATATGTTTGGAGAAGGTATACTACTTGCTAAAATATGAACAAAGCCCTACGTTATTTTTTACTCTCCCATTCGTTCGTTTTCGTTCCGATCAAATGTCATTCAATTACAATCAGAATTTTATGATAAGATGTACTAAATCAAAAAGTAGCTAAGACAAAATAGTTTTGAAAATAAAATGATGTTTAATTCGATTAATTAGAAATGGGAAAAGATGTAACAACAATTTTAAGATTACATCGTTAATTTATATTTTCGTTTCATTAATATTTGATAAAGTTTTGAATATATTTATATCTTATTTACTTTTATTAATATTTTAAAAATATAGCTATATTACTGTATTACTATGTCACTATATAACTATATTACTGTATTTAAAGATTTTAGTACTTTCTAAAAAAGACTATTTTATAAATTAATATCAATACGTACACTTTTTATAAATAAGTGCTGTTTGCTTACTATTTATTCGAATATGGAGATAAATTCTGTAGTAAATATTGATAACGATATTTTGTATCAAAAATACTGAGACATTATTTTCGCGGTTTATTTTATTTCATCTCCCATTTCCAACTTCTTCTGAATGATTTCTTTTATAACAACTACGTGAAATATTTTGTTAAACTCCTGAGGTTCCTATTGTTATATCATAATTAATTTCAAAAAATAATTTTATTATATAGTTTGAGATTGTACTTTTGAGTTACTGCATACTCATCATCTTTGGTACATGATTGAAATTTAAGTTTCATTAAACTCCCCATCGGTGGTCGATCGTGGCAAAATTTAATTTAAAATGAGACACGAAAGAAGGATGAATTCAGGATATAAAAGATTATTATACGACTATTATACAATGGTTAGAAAATATTCATTTATTGTGAAAGAGTACTTCTGTACCTATATATGTTGTAACATTTGATTAACGTTGTAACATAAAATGACTTATGATTATATCAATTATGATTATTATGATTATATCAATAAATGTATACAATCAATCCGAAATACATATATAGAAATTACAAAATATTATAAACATACGTTTAACAAAAAAAATTGGTAAAAATTCGTTAAAAAAAAATATAGATTGAATAGCCATCTTAAACATGCAATAAATGTTAATCCTCTGGAGAATTTTAATATTCGTGTTGTTTGCAACTTTTTAAACCTTTTTTCGCAATAAATATTCCAAAACAATAAACGTTTCGAACTAATCTTGAAAATCGAATTACTCAAATGTAACGTCATGCGTACATTATTGAGCAGTACACGTTCATACTGTTTCAGTTGTACTAGGAGGTTTCAGAAGGTTAAAGGTGATTTATAAATATTGATATAATGAATTGTTGCTATTTAAATATTTTTGTGATTTCTGAAATACAAAAAATACTTGTATTAAATATATATTTAAATTTATTTCAAACTTGATCATTGTAATCATAGTCAACTCTCAGTACGACGTTAATAAAATGTCAAAATGTTTTATATAACACTCATATTCGCATATTCATAAAAAGTTCGAATATTTTCGTACAGCTGTATGTTTAACAAATTCTCGATACTTTTTAATTAAAGTAAAATATTATTAAATATTTTTATATAATATATATAATGATATATAATATAATTTAATAAATATAATAAATATAATTATATTATATATAATATTATGTTAATATTTATATATAATATACATAATTATATATAATATAATTTAATAAATATAATTATATTATATACAATGTTATATTAATATTTATATATAATATACATAATTATATATAATATAATTTAATAAATATAATAAATATAATTATATTATATATAATGTTATATCAATATTTATATATAATATTATTTATATGTATAGCAATACTATTAAAGTAAATTTTAAAATATTAATAAGTAAATTACTATAATTTACTATATTCAACAATTAGACTTAATCAGAATCATTTCTTGCAAGACAAGGTTCTCGTATTTCCATCAAATTGGTCAACATCTCGTATCTCCACATCATTTCTCAATAATATTCACAAATTTTCATTTCGATCAACCACCGTATTAACGAGGAAACTGAACGTGTCACGAAATAATCAACCAAGTACGAAAAGTATTTTTCCGGGAAAATCGCACAACGATGAAAATAAAAACAAGATGCATAATATGCCGCAGGCACGACAACGTAAAATCTTAAATCGTCCGATGAAAAAACTTTCGCAGCGATTTCTTTTCAATCGTTTTGTTTACCACTGGTAAATGCAGACTGGGGAGAGGAGTATATACGAGAGAGGCTGTCTAAGAGCAGGCGAAGAATGGCTAGAATTGAATCTCGTATCTGTCGCTGGTACTGTTGTCAGCACAATGGTTTTACAGGTACATTACTGTTGAGACATGTCACTGACTGTGCGAAATGAGAGTTCAAACTTTCTCTTTCGCGAAAACTTTTACGAGTAGCTTTGGCGTCGATCGATATCTGTTCTAAATTACGTTTGTAATTATTGCATTGCAATTGTTAGTAGTTTCAAGTCGCTGTGAGTGGAAAATTATTTAATAATATCGCACGCATTTAGATACAACGTTGAATAATATTGCAAACACTTCAATACGACGTTAAAATATTCCTGTTTCTATGGTACTACGAATATTTTTTATAGTCAGTGTTCTGACTGTTAATTAATATCGTTAATAAAAATTTTTCAGGTAAGTTTAATATTAAAACAGGTTATAATTTGATAAATTATTAATTAGTTGATTTTGTTTGATATTTTTACAAAGAATGGATTTCTATTTAATAATTTTAAAATGCTGGGGTTTTGCACAAATCTGCTTTATTTTTATATTTAAATTGAAATGAAAAATTTTTTATATTCAAACTATTAATAAATTATATATAAATCATTTTATATTTAAATTAAATTAAACAATGTCCATAGTTTTACGACGTGTTTTTGCTTGTTACGACGAAAACGATTTTTTTAATTTCCTGTTTAAAAACACGTTTAAAGAAAATCATTGTCAAAATAATTATTAAAATATATAACTTCTCAAATAATTATATAATATTAAATAAAATGACAGAAAAATGAGAGAACGATCGACCGATGTCAAGCTATTATTTATATTTTACGTATAAATGTGCTGTTGAAGCAGTATGCAACACGTGCTACGAAAATATTTGAAAAAAAGAAGGTCTTAGGAGAAAGTTTAAACTTTTTCAACGACGTATCTTTTAGATGGAACAATGAATTGCAAACATGGTGTCGCATGTAAATGTAAAGTGTACCATGTTTTAAATGTGTTCGATTATTCACACACCTTTCTTATTTGATTTGCTTAAAGCATATTGTTTAATACTATAAAGTCGCTATTGTAATAACGTGTTTCATCAGTATGCGCTCGAAGAAAGGTAAACGTAAACGAAAATCAAGTGGCTACGAACAGAAACAAGTAAGTACGCAGGAACATTGAAAATTTTAACAAGCACGTGGAATTGATAAATTGATAAATACTGTATTTTACATTTATAGTTCGTATACATGTGTATGTATGTGTATTTAGGTTGGACGTTCTAAGTTCCAACGGTAAGTACTTGAAACGTAAGCTAATGTTTCAATTGCAAGACTATACCACGCTAGCTTATGAACATCACACACAATCATCTTTTACTGATGTTGCTGACTATTTATTGTAATTATGTTTAATGCAATTATACGATGTATGTATAATAGAAAAAGAAGAGAGTATTTCTAAGAAAAAAAAAAAGAAAAAAAAAAAGGAGAAAAGAAATCATTTCATTTTATTTTCATATTAATGAAATAAAAGAAAGAATAATAAGACTATTGTGTTATATTTTATTTTGTTTTCACGTTAACGAGATAAGAGAAGGTACAAAAGTTACATTTTGCAAACATGATACGAACGCTAATGAAAGTTTTATTCTAGATTTTGTGGTGTCGTAACATTTCTCAGCTAACGTTATTAGGTTCATCGACAGATTTAATGCGCGTAAAAATAAATTAAACGTACTTTTCAAAAAATATTGAAGAAACTTTTCAATTTATTCTCACAAAATGAAAATTAATAAAAGTTTCACGCCAAATTTTCGTAATTGCAATATTACTTATTCAATATTATCAGATTCATTGATAAATTTATAAGTATATACATATATATATTTTTTTAAATGTTAAATAATAATTAAATAATGTATAAAATAATATATATATTTATTATTTTATTATAATTAATATATATATATTATTATATAATATTATAATAATATAACATAATATAATAATAAATAATATAATATAATAACATTAATAAAATATTATTATATTAATAAAATTATAAAATTACTTACTTTAAAATAATATATATATATTATTAATAATATTTATATTAATAAAATTATATATATTTATTATTAAAATATATATAAAATTATATATATTATAATAATATACATATATTATTTTAAAGTAATAAATTTTATAAGTATAAGTAATTATATATATATTAATTTAATAAAATAATAAATATATATATTTTTTATATATAATATTAATATTAATAAAATATGTACGTACGTTTTTTTAATTTCTTCGAATAAATTTTATTCGATATTATCTTGCCAATCAATATCCTGGTTAATGCTCGTAGATTCTCCATGTTCTATATCGTATAATAAATGGACCACTTACATGAGCTTAAAACCCCGTCGTATGTAATATAAGTTCCCCCTCCCCTCTGATAATCAGCACAATAAATTACAGCGAAGTTGCTGTATAATCATGACATTCGGGAGATTACATTTCCTTCCTTGGCGTATACAATAAAAGTCTGAAGGAACGTAAGCGTCATGCAAGCGGTAAAGCGAGTGCATATTTCAAACGCGATTGCCCTGTTGTCTCGTACGATGTCGAGCATTCGTATTAATTCATATCTGTTGAATTCGGACAGTCACCACCGATATTACGTTTAGAGGAGGACATTTTCTAAATTGCGGTGAAGAGATAAGATATTTGAGCATTGGGATTAGCTTGTTGTGTACGTTTCAGTTTGTAGCATGAATTAGAAGAAACGTGTTTAACGAAGATAAACGGGAGATCCTGATAAAAACTGATTGAAATTTATCTTTATATGTTTAATCTTCTTTGATACTAATTTACTTTCGTTAATATTTTTGATACATTGCTTTGCACATGTGTGATTAAGTACTTTAATAAGAATAATAATAATACGTATGAAAGATAAATAAAAATTTAATTTGACAAGTAATTGTTTAATTCAATTGAGTTGAATTTAATTTTATTAATTTAATTTTAATTTAATTAAACAAGTTTAATTATTGCGCTTTAAAAGGTAAATAGAGTTGAAAATGAATCAGCTTTCTATTCTACTTGTGTTTCATGTCTCTCACTCGAAGAAAAGATACGGATCGAGGTTTATGCGTCATATTTGTTGAAGTGAGAAATAAGAAAAGTTTATTACCTAATTCGTTGTTGCTTCTAATATAACGTAATGGTTGCAATAATGTATGAGCCTTTTGTCCATTTATTTTTAAGATAATATAATACTTACATATATTTCTATGCTAAAATATTTTCGTTTATAACTTGAAGAAATACGTAGCAGATATTTCAATATGTACGTAATATTTTTTCATCGTTTTAATTTCTATGATACTTTATTATAATATCCTCTCTCTCTCTCTCTCTCTCTCTCTCTCTATATATATATATATATATATATATATATATATATATATACACATATACATATATATGTATGTATATAGATAGATAGATAGATAGACATAAAATAATAAATCAGTAGTTGGTACTCTATATCTTATGTTGATACCCTAATTAGTATATGGTATCCTATATATATAGACATAAAATAATAAATTAGTAGTTGGTACCCTATACCCTATAATTAGTATATGGTACCCTATATATATAGACATAAAATAATAAATTAGTAGTTGTATACATGTTGATAAATTTTCACGAATTTTTCCGAAATTTTTGTTTAATATTGATAACAAACAAGCTTACATATTATACATAAACCTGATTATATCATTTTCGAAGTAGGTTACAATTTATTTTCATTCGGTAATCAATGATCATATTTAATTTATTAGGATGGCAACTTCATACTAGAAGTTTCAACCGTCAATCAATAAACTAGTACTTTCTTAATTAAATTTGTAGTCAGTAACTTCGAAACCAAATGATTTACTTTTTATTTCAATGATATACTTACTTACCGTATTTGTATTAAATGAAAGAGATGATCTTTTTTGACGTAATATAAAACGGGTCAAAGAATTTACTAATTCGTAGCATGTTAATTATCTTAATTAAATTCGAAGAACATGTTAATCATGTCATGTATTATACTTTAATGTAATAACACGTGTTTGAAGAAATCTTTATACGTGTATCTAATTTACGAAATGAATGCAATTATGAAATAATTGGAATAAATTGAAACATGAAATAATATATACAATATCTGCATTTCTTTTTAATTATTTAAATAAACATGTGTATCGAATAAGTAATTTTTGCACTTTTTTATATTAGAATTTATAATGCAACATAGTGCGATGTAGTTTCACGTAAAACAATATCTAAATAATGTCCTACGTGCCATAGTATTCGAAGAAATTGTTCAACGAGTCCACTTTTATCTCTCAACAGAGTAATTAGAATTGGACAAAACTGATTAATAATCAACGATTATTATTAATATGGAATCAGGATATTATTTAATGATCAATAATCACTGATTAATAAATAAGGGAAATAATCAAAAGCATTGTAATCAAATTATTAATTTAATAATCGTTAATCATAAAATGACTATACTATCTATTATGACTGTATCAGTTTATAGTATATCAGTTATTATATAGTACATAGTATGTCAGTTTATATTATATTTTTAGTAACAGTTTATTTTTCTATTTTCGTTTATCGATGGATATTTTTTTTAAAGAATAAACTTCAGATAAAATTTAAGCGTGACTATGACATCAAATATTTTATTCAATCATCTGTAATTCAGAAACTAAGACATGTGACATGTAATATCCATATGACATTTTTCGTTTAGTGTAGATTCATTATCCCAGAGTATGGTGATATATTTAAGAATCACTCTCTACACGTTACCACATATAACTCGACATTTCTAAATTATTGCAATAAAAATTAATCTCCTTAATTTAATCTTGAAATATATAATTAAATAGAACATCTTGAAAAAATACAATGAAAAGAATAGCTGATGTAATAATAATTGATCGAAGACTCAACAGAGCGAATTTATATATGTTCTTTGTTGATATGTGTTTCTAATCACATTGGAAAAGCTTATACAGATTTTATAAAGCGTCGATCATTTATCAAAAAATGGATATAAAGCTTCAGAAAATTAATAATAGAAAAACGTTCGTTAATCGCGACTAATCCAAAAAAAACATCAAGTTTTTATTAAAATTGCATTAAGTATTCAATTATTTATGGACGGCAGTGTGAATCCAAAAGTTTCCCCAAAAATATATTCAAAAGATTTGAATTTTTTTTTAAATTTTATAATTGACGTTTCTAGAGATCGATTGGATTGACTTTTCAAATAAACAATACACGTTAATAAACGAAAGTGAGCGGCTCCGTTTGACGTGCGTTATCGAAGCTGCGAGTCGGAATTAAAATTAGCGGTTTCATAAATTAGCAACTTTCGCCGAGTTGTGTAGGAAAACTCTTAAGTAATTAGAGTGTCTAACGTCTTGCTAATGAGGAACTCGCACAACATCGCGATATCGTAATAGAAGCGAAATCGCGAAAAAGGTTCCGGTGGAACCGAGCGAAAAGTTAGACAGAAACGAAAGAGAGTAAGAGAACAGGGACGAACGAGGGGGCTAAAAGCTTTGCGTGGTTACTCCAACTCCAGGAGGTAAATGTAAGGCGCCGTGTAATAAAGTGGGCTTGTTACTTAGCCTGCGTACTGACGTGACATTTTACACAGCCCGGTTGTACTTTCTTATCAATTTCTCTCCATTTTTCTTTCTTCTTTTTTTTTTTTTTTTTTTTTTTTTCACGCCCCGTGATTCGTAATGTCTCGTTACGTGACATTAATAGACGAAAATTTAGAAATATGGCAAATATAGAAATTAGCTACATACCATCCTTAGATACTATTATTGAGTTATAGGTAGCTATAGTAATTAACTAAATTTACTACGTAATTTAGTGAGATTACTAAAATTTCGGGTATTTGATTTTATTTGGGTTTTGCATTCTTCACGCTAGAGATTGATAATGAAATTAAGTAGAACTGAAATTCCCAAGATTAAATAATTTATTTTTAAATTATTAAATTTCCAGTTGACCCTAATGACATCGATTGAAAATAAATTTACATATCTAATTGCATCACTTTAAGTACTATTGAGTTGCAAGTTTAACTATAGTAATACATTAAAATTACCAAAGTAATTTACTGAGATTACTAAAATTTCATGTATTTGATTTTATTTGATGTTTTACATTCTTCACGCTAGAGATTAATAATGAAATTAAGTAGAACTGGAATTCCCAAGATTGAATAATTTATTTTTAAATTATTAAATTTCCAGTTGACCCTAATGACATCGATTGAAAGTAAATTTACATATCTAATTGCATCACTTTAAGTACTATTGAGTTGCAAGTTTAACTATAGTAATGCATTAAAATTACCAAAGTAATTTACTGAGATTACTAAAATTTCAGGTATTTGATTTTATTTGATGTTTTACATTCTTCACGCTAGAGATTAATAATGAAATTAAGTAGAACTGGAATTCCCAAGATTGAATAATTTATTTTTAAATTATTAAATTTCCAGTTGACCCTAATGACATCGATTGAAAGTAAATTTACATATCTAATTGCATCACTTTAAGTACTATTGAGTTGCAAGTTTAACTATAGTAATGCATTAAAATTACCAAAGTAATTTACTGAGATTACTAAAATTTCAGGTATTTGATTTTATTTGGCGTTTTACATTCTTCACAGACTAGAAATTAATAATGAAATTAAGTAGAATTAAAAATTCTAAAATTAAATCGTTTACTTTTTAATTATCGTACTTCCAACGGACTCTAACAATATCAATCGAGGATTAAATTTGTTTCACCACGTTCGTATTCTCACCGAGATATTTTTACACAATGCTCTCATCACTTTCGTCGTCATACCATGGCCAGATTCTCTGGAATCAACGTACATACGTGTTTTTCAGCAAATTCACCGTTGGATCATGTCACCTTTAAACTATACCCACTTATCTTTCGAAAACCTGATCCTGTGTCATTCGATAGCTATGTGTCCGGCTGTCTTTGAACATTTGGATTACACGTTCTCACAAAATCTTTCCTCTGATCATGCTAAAAGTTTGCGTTGTTAAACATAGAGAAAGAAATTATTTGATATTAGTCGCTTAGATGCGCAACGCGATAGAATAAGCTTGTTATTTAAGGTACATAGTAAATGATGGTAAAACATTTTATATTTATTTAAACTTCCACTTTCTTTTATTTTCTCTCAGAAATTTATATGCTTGCATTTTACGAACCAATATTTTATTAGCTTTCCATGCGCAATAACAAGTGAATATTTTTTGATGTCGCTTAAGAGGAAACTAAACACTTTTTATTTATATTTTATTTATTTATATTTATATATATATTATTTTATTTATTTATATTTACATTTATATTATTTTATATATTTATATTTATATTTATATTATTTTATTTATTTATATTTATATTTATATTATTTTATTTATTTATATTTTATATTTTTATCATACAATAGCTCTCATTCACATTTAAACTGTTGAAATTTCGTAAAGCAAAATCGTAACAACAATAAATTTGGATTCATTTCAGGTAAATTCGAAGTCAAAATCCAGCATTAATTTTAGTTTAAACTCAAGTTTAAACGAAATAGGAAATAATTTTTATTAGAGCATGATACTTCGATCAAGTTTCAAATATCTTTTCTAAATATTATAAATCCTTTTTTTTTTCTTTTGTTTGGTAAACTGATTACGAGTGTACGATCGAAATGTAAAAAAATCTTTTGCTGCGTATTTAAATTTTCAGACGATTTTTCAAAGGTAATTTTCAATTTTCAAAGTTGAAATCCGCAGTGAATATAAATATCAGCCACGTTCGATTATAGTCGAACACTGCAGCAAAAGGGTTAAGTAATAATCGAATGAAGAATAAGATCTTTTCATCGAAGCTTTCGTATTTGAGAAAATCGAGTTGGGAAAACTTGTCGAATGTACGAGTGTAAAGGCAGTTCTTTTAACGAAACTATTTTTTTGAAAATAACGCCAAATAAATAGAAATCTGTATTCTGCAAGTTTTATGCATTTTTGCACATAGAATACGTGAAAAACATAATCCGCGCGGTATTAGTAGAAAAATTCAAGTGTGCTTGATAAATTTTCAAACTCGATTTCCTCCGAGAACGAAGGTTTCAATGAAAAAATTTTATTCCCTCCGTTCGACTCATTTTCTTTTTTTCTTTTTCACTAGTAGAATCACCTCCCATTCGATTGTACCATCCATCTTGAGAGCTATGTAACTGCAGAATGGATCTGAGCTATTTATTTTGAAAGTGGCACGAGTCACCTTACAGTAATGAAGAAATGGAATTATTTATACCGAAAAAAAAAGAAAAAAATATAAATATCCGAGATAACAAAAAAAAAAAAAAATTGGCACTCGAGTACATCAATTCGAAAAACAAGTGACTCCATATTTCAAAGTAAACGGCTTGCGCGCACTTTTTCCGCTTTCTGTTCTCCCATCTGTTTTTCTCTTTCACTGGATCTCACGCTGTATCTACCAAATTACATTGGATTAACAACCACACCCGCGAGGCTCGAGAACACAACCGGTAAGCCAAAGTAGCCAATTGCCTTTGTTTTGCAGAACTTTGAAGTTGCCAAAGTGATTTATGAAAAAGGTTGTATTCAAGCTGGGGAGGAATGGGTGGAACGAAATCTTCTTGCAATTGTCACCGGGGCGGTTGCTACGGCATTTGCGCAGGTATAATTTATCATTTCGAACATGTATCTTCGTGCTTGTCACTTAATTAATCACGTCACGTCAAATTTGCGTTATTGATAATATTATGTTAAGGAATGAATAAACATTGAAACGAAGCATCGATTCTTTTGTTATTCACTTATATATATATATTTTTTTTTATTGATTTAAATATATATGAAATATATATGTTATATAATATATAATATATGAAGTTATATGAAACTACATTATATATATGAAATATATATATTATATGATATAATATACTATTATATAATATTTTATTTTACTTTATATAATATATAAAATATATACATTATATAATATATTAATAAATTTATATTATATAATATATAATATAATATTTATATAATAAATTTATTTTTTATAATATTATATAATATATAAAATATATACATCGTATAATATATTTATATATTTTATATAATATATAAAATATGTATATTATATAACATATATATATATTTTTATTATTTGATTTTAATACATATAAATATATATTATAATTATAGTAATAATATATAATAACATAATAATAATTTATAATATAATTATGTTATATATTATGTAATATAAAATATATATATTATATAATATCTATTTCTTTTTTTTATTATTCGATTTAAAAAAGCTTCTGATTAAAGTAAATGTACACGTAGACGTTCACACACGTGACGAACTCATTGAATTTACCGTGTATCGATGTTGCAATTCGAATACTACATATTGTATTAACTGCATATACATATTTGAGCATGTATACGCACCGAAGATTGCTTGAAAATGCAAAAGACGTTGCACGAGATAATCATTTGTTGTTTTACATTAATTTTGCGCCGTGGGATTGAAGGTAATGCAGCGTAATTTGGAATAACAAGGTATCTAAAAGTATAAAGACCAACTTCTTGTCTGACTTGTAACGTCGGAAACAATAGGGGCAAGTGACTTGTTAATTAGTAACATTCGTGGACGAACCATAATTCAATTCAGCCTATAGAAACGTCAATTTTCAAGAAGTTGATCGGTTTTTTTTTTAACGAGTGTTCAGTTATAGTTGAAATATGTCAAAACTTTAAAGTGAATAATTTTACAATTATTCCGAGGAAGCAAAATGTGACACGAAATTTTAGGCTGTAATGTCACGTTGCTAATTTGGAACATTGAAGGCGAATACAGTTTGAAGTGTTTCATAATGTAATGATATTTTTGTTAACGTCGTTTAATGTTTAAATTTAGCAGGACTCTCTTTAGTTAAAAGTCTAAAAATTTTCGTGTTACGTATTTTTAATGTTTCTCCTATTTTTAATGTTCCAAACAAAAAAATGGAACTTCCAGTGAATATCGAAACTGCAATAATTTCTTCTATAACTAGTAATATTCACTTGTAACGAATATTAACTAATGATATTCACTCGTAACGAATATCTGCTTAGATCATAAAAGAAAATAATTTTATTATTTGTTTCTTTTTTTAATGTCACTAAGTGAAGATAAATTAGTATACCATTGTAACATTTTCTGTCATTCTTCAATTAGAATATTTGTCTCATTATATTTTTCATTTCTTATTATTACCAACAAGAGTTTGAACTATGAAAGTTTATTGGTTCTTTCTTTCTGTTTCACTACCGTAATTTTTTATTCATCTGGAACAAACTGGTTCCAAATATTCCAAATATACTGCATTTCCTTTAATATTTATACAGATTTCGATAAAAAAAATGGCACACGTATGCTATCATTAAATTCTTGAAGATAGATTTAAAGTTTCTCAAACTTGACAAATAATATATATAGACATTATCTTACACTATCTGTTTGGCATAATATCTAGATAAAAACTGGAATTTTATTACGTGTCTGTTGATTTTTTATATTTATATTTAAGTGAAACATGCAAAATGGAATCGACGAATTAATAATATCTGAGTTTTCATTTAGACTTTTCAATATCATTCTAGATTTCAAGTCGTTGTTCGAAATGTTACAAATATTTGTTATAAAATTGTAGCACTACCAAAATGAAAATTCAAGCTATTTTTGAGTCAAAATATTAAAATTTACCTGTTTTAAAAATTTCGAAGTTTATGAAAAGCTTGAAAATTTTTAATGAGATTATACTGTTTATCTAAAAATATTTCAATCATGAAATAATTAGTAAATTTGGAGAACGTTTAGGAACATTTTATTTGTGCAGATCACAAACAGAATAATTGATTTGAAAATATTATATAATATTAAATATATAGTATTTATATTAAGTATATATTAATATTATAGTATTATTAATATTAATTATTATATAATATTATAATATATAATGTATATAATGTAATATATAATATTTTATAATATTATAATATGTAATACACTATTATATAATATTATAATATATAATATTATACACTATTATATAATATTATAATGTAATCACTATTACATAATATTCACTATTATATAATATTATAATATAATCACTATTACATAATATTCACTATTATATTATAATATATAATGAATAAGATTCATGTTGATTATTTCATTTTTGGAATTATCACTTCGTCGAATCTATTTTACGTGTTTCCTCGACACGCATAAAAGACAACAATAATGTCCAACTTTCCAATTAAACATCATCGCAAAATAAGTTTCACACCCGTCGAGTTTGAATAATACCGAGTCAATCCCTAAAAATCTAATCATAGCAAATGTACGCTGTCTATTTTCTCGCCCGTGGTGTAATTTTCAATATTATCATTAATATTTTATTAATTATTAATCGAATTTTATACGAAAGCACACGTTATTCGCAGAATTATGTCGCGTGTTATCTATCAATGAAATGACTTCACTGCTGTAAGACTAATTCAGCCTAATTCCTGTCTTATTTCCAGATTCTTGGAATCTGTTTTGCTCAGAATCTTCGAGCAGACATATTCGCACAAAAGGCAAAGTGGCATTGACAATTTCGGGCCCCCACGGCGGTCTAGCATCTTATACTGATTGATGCTGATCAGTTACGTTGATCGAACTGGAAGAGCTCGTCGAAGATCTCGAGAGATTGCAGACCTTTGACGTGAAAATCGACACGAATTCCACGGTGGAAAGTGCAGGACTCAAGACTCAGGATATCCGAACAGAATCGACAAGATACGGGTACTGCTTTCGTTCATGGATTGCCGACAATTGCGTGTTCATTTGAACGAATGGGTGTTCATCTATGATTTCGTAACGACGACTTGCCAAATTTTCGCAATTTTATCGTTCCACGAATTTTCCAAGCGTCAACTTTATTTTAATTAATTACGCTTAAACGTCGATAAAACGTTTTCCAACGTTTCGTTAATAATTATTGTTATCGAGGGTATAACTTGTTGCACCATTGATCCCTATATTGATGAAATGACACCGAATGGATTTCAATTTGCGTCGCAGCCTCGATAAATTTGATTTCGCAAACCAAACACACACAGTTGCCAATTGACAACTTCCCACTTTGTATCAAGGTAACAATCGAGCCGATTGGATTCGAGAAGCCACGCTGTGTTTAATACATGTACGATTGTAAGGAAAACAAATCGCGCTGTGTTTACGTATAATTTTTTACACTACAAAAATCGCATCGTCACGTCCGCCACGTTAACGAGAGAAGAGCGAGACTTTTTAACAAGGAAATCGCTTCGAGGAAGCAGATTTCGATCGTACGCTTTTCGTTCGAGAGCTACGGTGCACGTGGATTGACAAATCGAGTGTTTCAAGCATTCAGTTTTATCAAACGCTTCTGCCTGGCAACAGTCTCACGCTCGTTATGTTACAATTCGAGCAAATATATTGTTTGCCAAGAGAGAGATAGAGTGTGTGTTCGGATAAGGGGAAAGAAAAAAAAGAGGAGAGGAGCAATGCCTGCTCGGTTCACAGGGGAATGATGTGTCGAGGCATTAAAGTCGATTGACGTGATGTCGTGGGGGCGCGGTGAATACGATTGACTTCACCGCACGATCTAAGATCTCGTGGCGTCGTCACGAGAGAGTAAAGCCATATGACAAGCAAGTATACAATAATTTCTTTCGATTCGCTCCAATACGTCGTCGAAACCGGCTGAAATTCCAGCCAAATCGATCCATATTGATCCTGCGTTTCATGCCGACACGTTTCCTCCATTGATAGGCCAGGTGCCTGCTTTTTTATCGTATCACCGACGAGAGATAACAGCGACTTGAGTTTGCTCGACGAATTCGAATCCACTGGTCTTTTATATAACAAATTATATTATTGTGTACAATAGTATAATGTAAAATTTATAATATAATCTTTGAATACAAATTTATTGAATTTATTATTTAAACAGTGTAAAATTTTAAATGTATAATATGAATAATATAAAATTATATTATTGTAAACAATAATATGATATAAAATTTATAATATAAATTTACTAAGTTTGTCATTTAAATATAAATTAATTGAATTTATAATATAAATAGTATAAAATTATATTATTGCATACAATAATATAATATAAACTTTAAATATAAATTTATTAAATTTATTATTTAAATATAAATTAATTAAATTTATAATATAAATCATATAAAATTATAATTATTGCAAACAATAATATAATATAAAATTATAGTATTAATTTATATTGCTTGCACAATTATAGTGCAGAATATTCGTTCATTGTCTGACGACACTGTACAATAGAATTAACACTATGTTCATCAATTGTTATTTTATATCTTTTAAGAGACAACTCAACTAATTCGTGTAAATCGGTTGCTAAAATCAAGTTTATACATATGCTTTGTACTTTCGCATAATTTTCAAAAATAATTATTTTGACCCAAGCGCAAATAACACGTTTTCTTCTTTCATGGTTAAAATTTGATTTACGGTTATAAAATCAAGACATCGTACTTGTAAATATTCAACGAACATATGTATACATTTATGCGTACAGAATATTCCAGTTTTTGCGAAAAATGATGCATATTCCACGAATAAAAATTTTATTGAAAACTGTCAAATGTAGGTTCGTAAATGATTTTCTTTTCGAAAATAATCGATCAATTACTCGTTTGCATAATGATTATACATTCGTTATGGGTACTCATTTATATAACAATTATGTAACTATATGCGCGAACGAAAAGGAGCCAATATTTTGGCCTTTGTATCATAAAATATTAATAAACTTTTAAAGAAAATAATTAATTAACAGAAATTAATTTAACGAATTTACGATACATTCATTGAAATTAAAATGAATCAGCAAGAAACATTTTAAAATCGAATTAACATAAATTTCGCCAAACGGTTTTTATTTTTCTACAAAGCAAAATTAAATGAATATAATTTTTTTTATTTATGTGAAAGTGAAAAGAATCAAAATCAATTATATGAAATTTATATTATATTTTATAATTCGTTCGTTGACGAAAAATCAAGGCGTTATTGCGAACCTATATTTACAATTTGTAGATCATTCGTGGAATATACTCGCGCTGTTTTGCGAAAACTAACACATCCTGTGTATCTGTAAACGTACCAAACGGAATTTCTATATATTCTGCGTTCCTAATTCGTACGCGAACAAATGAATGAAACACTCTATACCAGACAAGTAAAAAAAAACAAAGAAATAAAAAAATATGATGCGAAAACGAATTAAAAGAATTTTTAATTCAAAAATTAATATTTGCATAAAAGATATCTATATAACAGATTCTCTGTATTTCAATTTTCACGTATGTACGTACATTACTTGCTTCGTACATTCATTTCAATATAGTAAGCAATAAATTGTATTTATTTATATTATTTGCAAGATTCGAAAAAAAATATTATCTCTCTATGGGAAGTAGATGTTATTAAAAAAAAATACTAAATTGGATTTATGATATTTTACAAGGCGTTTAACTATCGTTCAAATTTAAAGAGGGAAATATTATATATAATATTTATAATATAGATATATTATAGATATATAGATATATAATATTATAGATTTATAATATAGATATATAGATATATAATATTATAGATTTATAATATAGATATATAGATATATTATAGATATATAATATAGTTATATAGATATATTATAGATATATAATATAGATATATAGATATATAATATTATAGATTTATAATATAGATATATAGATATATTATAGATTTATAATATAGATATACAGATATATTATAGATTTATAATATAGATATACATATATATTATAGATTTATAATATAGATATACAGATATATTATAGATTTATAATATAGATATACAGATATATTATAGATTTATAATATAGATATATAGATATATAATATTATAGATTTATAATATAAATATATAGATGTATAATATTTCCAGAAATTAGTGTGAAATAATAATGGAAGAGAGCACGTATACGAGGGAATACTTGCGAGAATGACAATCAAATCGAAATATAAATATCATATTAATTGTGTAAAACGTGTTCGAACCACTTTTAACGCTTGCAATTGTAATTGAAATAATTAATTTCGCTGAAGGTATGCAGTAATTCTAGTCGGTCCGTTTGGTACATCAGTTTCGGATACGAGTTCAACCTTTCAACTAATTATAATAACGAGACGTGTCGGCATCACGCGCTGTAAATTCTCGGAGTTGCGAATTATTTCGATCGAACGTTGAAGAAAAAAAGAAGAAAAAAGAGACAAATATGAAAATCAATCGGTAAGGAAATATCTGAAAGTCAGATCAGAAATTATTTGTCCGAAAGATTTGGTTTTTATTTAATAATTTAGCGAGGAAGCATCAATTGTATGAAAGTATCGAGTCCAGACTAGTGATATAGCGTTTTAAAAAAAACATAGTGAGCATAGCGGCTGGCCCGCGAGCGTGTGGACGCTTTCAGTTTCCAATGAGAATACTGTTTCATAAAGCGGAGTCTAACCTTCATTTCCTTGTTGTTTCCCGAAATAATTTTTATACGAATATGTACATAATGTACATATACACGAATGATGGTCCTTACGCATAAACGATCGAATCGGGAATTATTTTTCTCACAGACCGCAGAATTGCTCGAGCCCGTAAATAAATGACACTTCGGTCATATAAAGTAATACGTTGTAACGCAATTAAAATTTAATTAATCGAGATTGAAATGAAACATTGTGCAGAAGTATTCAAACGCGAGCATGATAATATTTTAATATATTTTAATACATTTTAATATGTAGTTCACGCTCTTTTATCGAGTCGTTTCGAAAGTGAGCTTTTATGCTAATTTGACAAGCCTAAGGCTGAGATTTCTATCCATTTTATTGATACAGGATTGTAATTTAATTAATAAAAAATTTAATTAATCGAGATTGAAGCATCGTCCTGCAGAAGTGTTCGAATACGAGCATGATAATATTTTAATATATATTAATATGTAGTTCACGCTCTTTTATCGAATCGTTTCAAAAGTGACTTTCAGGCTAATTTGAGAAGCCTAAGGCTGAGATTTCTATCCATTTTATTGATACAGGATTGTAATTTAATTAATAAAAACTTTAATTAATCGAGATTGAAGCATCGTACTGGAAAAGTGTTCGAACACGAGCATGATAATATTTTAATATATAGTTCACGCTCTTTTATCGAATCGTTTCAAAAGTGAGCTTTCATGCTAATTTGAGAAGCCTAAGGCTGAGATTTCTATCCATTTTATTGATACAGAATTGTAATTTAATTAATAAAAAATTTAAT